GTAGGTTGATGAGCCAGGAAGTCTCCCCCTTTCAAACTGCACACAAGCAATTTCATGCCGTTGGATCTGCTGCAGGGGATGAGAAAAGATCGTGTTGTCAAGGGCACTGTGCATAATGGACACAAGGTCAAGAACAGTCTTTCATCTCGCCTGCGAAGATCATGAATGGACTCAACCGTCAAGTCGTCTATCCTTACTCCATTCACCGCACTTGATATATGTGAAATAAATATAGGCTTTCGATAATGGAGATGCTGAAATGAAAGGGGAATGGCGGATTGTCATTTAAAAATATATGTATTTATCAACATATACTTTGAAATGGTAAGGAGAAATATGGCAAAAGTGGGCAATTACTGTAACACCAGAGCTCCCACAGCAGTCAATTTGACGGCTTTTCATTCTGGAAGTGCGATTACTTTGCTTATATACATATTCGGTCTTCAAAAAGTTGTAGCTTTTCTGTAAATATATGTATTTTATAGCTATCAAATGAATGTTTCAGCTTGGCGCAAGTGCTAGTAACTATAGCAACACACACGTTTATGTGCATCAGTTAGAATTTAGTTTTGCTGTATTTCATTTATATTAACCAGTTTTAGCAGGTGGGAAGCTTGGTCTAGTTGAAATGAATCACAATAATCCAGTCTATAAGCGTGCATTTATTATTAATAATAACATGGGGGGGGCGCTTTTTCCTCTCCTTTTGCTGATCATTTGGAGCTGAAAGAACCATGCCGTTACAGCTGATATAAAACAAGCCCAATAGGACCAGTTGCAGACTTTGAGACTTAGATCGGATTTGAACAAATACAAACAAATTCAGTTTTGTTTTTTTATTATACGTGAATTAGGAAAGCAGATAAACCAACAGACAAAGGCACCACTATGAAAATGTTAACTTCTGACCACCAGCCTCTGCAGCTTGTGACAAAGTACTCCATGAGTTCCATGATGCTTTGCTGGCAGAGGTCCCTGCAGTCTTTCCCCGGTCCACACACTGACCACTCGCCTGATCTTTCCTGTTAACTGAGACTGACCCACACTGAACCCAGACTGAAGCCTAGAGAGCAGAAGCCAAGACAATTTTACTTGACTTTTGTTTGGCACAGATGGCAGCTGTGAGTGCCAGGCAGAGCACCATGGTACTCCAACAGACGAGAAATGAACCAATTATTGCAAATAATACTTATAACTCAATGATGTCTAGGAATACGTAACACATTGGACAGTGTGGAAAAGCCAGGCAGAATACAGTAGAAAGCATTTAAGGTGGAAAGTGTCTTATGAGAGAGTGAGGATTTGGCTATGAACCAATCAACAGTCAAGTCAATGATTATAGTTTACCCTCTTTTTAAGAATAGGAGATCTTTTTTTATCACACAGTGGGGAAATTTTAGTGTTGCATCACCGGTTACAGAACACTAAATCTAAAAATGAACAATAAATCAAATCAAATCTCTAACTTTAGCATACAAGCAAGTATATCAACTAATATCTAGCTTTAGCATTATAAGGAAGAAAATCTAAAATCTCCAAATTAAGCATAATAAAGCAAGCATTAAGTTCAAAATCTCTAACATCAGCATAATAATGTAGTAAGTATAAAATATCTATCTTTGGTAGGATAACGGCGCAGTACATTCACTGTGACATTACTATAGGGATTATTGCACATATGAGAAAAGTATGAGTGACAGCGGTGACAGATGTGTTTTCTTATTTTATATTCTTTACTACACATATTTCACAGTATGAACAGCTTGCATTTGATAAGCAAGATAGAATATTGGTGTTTGAAAAAGTTAAAGAGGCACTGTGCAACAACTTTAAACATGAATGAAAATCTTTTAATTCATAAATATACAGTAGAGAACAGCTATGTTGCAGTTAGTCACTAGTAGATAATTGAAATAATAAAGATAATATCTGATTGAATGTTCGGTATCATGTTTACATCTAACAGTATGACTTGACCGTATTTTCTACATTCCCTGAAATAAATCAATAAATGAAGAAAGAAAAATGTTGGCTTGCTTTACAGATACTTACTACCTCTCCCCACTGAATATCAATTTATCCACGCATAATCCTACCAGATATGATTTTACACATGGATTTATAAAAGAAGCATAGCGGTTATGTTGTATATTTATTGTGCTCCCTGTGTGCTCTGACTACGGCCCTGCAACGTTGAAATTTCCCTTCTGTGGGACGAATAAAGGTTCTCTTATCTTATCTTAGTAAAGGGGAGTTCTGCTCCGTCCTGCTCTGGGGCAGACTGAACCTCCCAAAGCTGCTCATGTATAGGGGATGGGAGGTGTTGCTCGGTAACAAGTCAAAACGAGTGAAGCAAGATCAATAATGCAACCCGAGTAGCTCTGACTGATGAGATGTTGCAGAAAAGCAAAGCCTGCAAAAAATGATTTCAGGGTACAATTACACATAATAATGCATTAACCTGGCCAAAAGGTAAAAAGAGGTTAGACACAAACTATTAGGATAATGAACACTCAGGGAAGCCTTTTGGGGAAATTAGCAAGACGCTTATTACTACCTATAGCAATCCTATTAGCGCCATGCTTTGATCACAGCCATCTAATTGCACGCTCATGAATAGGATCATTAGCTTTTCACTGTAAAAAAAACATCTAAAGCGATGACCATGACCATCGCAGCCCTGATCTTGTTTATTGCCCCCTCTGGGATAATGATAAGTTAAAAAAGCTACTAATTTATTCACTTGGATTTTTAAGTGAAAATGCCTGAAATAGCAGGGCCTCCCTTTCCCTTTTCCAGTCTGCAAACTGTACACTGTCTCCCACTATTTAAATGAATGGGAATCAACACCCAATATAGGTTTCATGAGAGCTACAATGGCATGTTATACCTCATAATAATTGATCAAAGCAATACTTCTAGCCACTTGCCTTCCTTAGCTTCAGTCCAGTTTTAGTTTAATTGCAAACTATGATCATTTAAATAAAAATAAAAACACATATGTAAGATAATAATCATTTCCTCAAATGAAATTGGTTAGAACAAAAAGATTGCAGCAGGTGCAAAAGATGAGCTAACATACTTCACACAAACAGAAAGAAAACATTGGATATCTTCAAGTTTCCCTCTCCTCTTCTGTAAATATGTTTTTGTTATAACAAAATGTACGTTTTGGTTGCTATATGCATCAATGATATCTTAAACTGTAATATATGTTAAGCTTTTACATTGACAGTCATAATGTAAAGTGGAGAGAACCTGGGTCTGGGTTTTAAGAATATAAAGAAAGAGAAACAGGGTTGGCGTGGGAGCACTGAGGGACATATCCATATTTGACTCTCTCCCAGGATTCGCAGACTGAAAGTGTCCAAGATTTTGAGAACCTAATCCACACATCTGTGTCAGAGCCAAATTGTGCTGCACAAGAGGCTTCCGCTGGGATTGGATCGGCTCTATATCTCGCCTCTGCGCTTATCTCCTCCCTGCTCTTCATTCTTTCCAGATGCACCTACGGTCGGCCCAGCATTAAAAGGTAAAAATCCCAGCTGACGTCAGGATGGAGATGAAGGGCAAACCACTGACCCCTTGGCAGTGTGTTGAAACCATTCTTTAGGTTTTCTCACTCTACATTGAATACAACTGTGTGAAATATAAAGCTTTCATAAATGACCTAAATATAATAATAAAATAATAATTTCCTCAAAGCACATCCCACATGAAATTAGTTAGAACAAAAACATAGCCGAAGATTCTGTAGATGAGCTAAGATGGTTCACACATGGTTCACACAAACACAACGGTTCACACAAACACACAAACACAACGGTCACATTGGATATCCTCAGGTTTCCCTCTCCTTCTCCTCTGTAAATATTTGTTGTTATAAAAAAAACACAAATTTTGGTTACATTTTAACTGAAGAACTTTAGACTCAAAGAAGTTGTTAAATGGTAACCACATGAAAACGAGTCTGGCCCTTCTCGGTATACCCAAGGGGAGGATATTAAGCAGAGCAGATTTCAAGATTTAAAAAAAATACAAGAAATGTCTCCCTTGGACTTGGAATGAGTACATAAAGTAAATGTTCTTGAAATGTGTCCAAATGGCTTGTCCAATTGACAAATCTTGTTCTTGACAATCAGAATATGCAATGATATGAGTAAAAATACACTTGATTCAAGCATTTACTACCTCAAAGTTTACAAAAAAAATTCAGTGTATCCCAAAACCCCAAAAAGACACTGCTTTCAGGTGTTTTTGTGCCAAGCTTCTGGTGTCTGTAGAAGTGGAAGCAGAGGCGCGTGTAGTTTATATCATGAATAAAAGATGTGATGGTAACAGCGGCGGGACGTCCTGAGGTGTGACTGTACACTCTCCAGCGGGATCAGGGACAGGGTTAGTTAACATAAGGTCACCAGGTGTTTCTGCGGCAGCACTCTGGAGCAAACATGTACTGTATAATGAGAACAGCACTGATACTTGTGGCAAGTACAGACCACAAGTACAGACTATGGAGAAGAACATAACTTAAATACACGCGAAGGAGAATCACTAAAAGACAGGAAAAGTAGTGAAAAAAATGGCAAAAAGATGCAGAGGTCTGGGATCATGTCTCAGCAGCAACATTTTTGTATTGTTTTATTGTTGGTAGACCGCATTGTCATCACCAGTTTTGCAGTGTTCATCTGTTTTTTTGCCCTGACAAGAAAACTCTAAACTTCTAGCTGCCACTGGAAAGGCCGCTAAACTCTAGCTGCCACTGGAAATGCCACTAAACTCTAGCTGCCACTGGAAATGCCACAATAGTGTGCTGCGACATTTCCAGCAACAACTGATCAGTCGAGGCAGCTGCCGCGTCACAAAATGAGCCTACATTTACTAAAAGGATGGTGGTTTTATTTAAATATTTTGTGTAGGGTGTGTTTAGTGTGGAGAAATGAGTGTGTGATAAAGTCAACTAATCTCTTTTTCCATGACTGTACATTTGGATTTTTGGTTACCATCATATGTGCCGCTCTCCAGCAGAAGTCCGCTCTCCTCCAGGATCCGGAAGTCTCCCACACTGATGAAGTTATAGTCCACTCCTGGAACCTCTCCATCCCGAGGAAGTCGTGTCGTACCTGGATGGAAATAGAAACAGAGTCATCGTACAGTGACAATCCAAATCACTATACACAAGCCTTGTATAGAGTAGCCATTTTGTGTGCATGCGTGTACTTTTAGGACTACGCACCATGAGCCAAAGAACATTGTGACTTCTTTTTACTTACATTGGCAAGAAAAATAATTCTGATTAATACAACTTAAAGCTTGGCATACTCTAAAAACTTTGACTGCAAAAAACTATAATAATTGCCATTTATACCTCAGCAAGGTGTGTTGAACTTGTTGTCACTGAATATGTAATAATTGTCTGTGTCTGAGGTTTACGTATTCTAATGTTCATTGTACAGTATATGCTGATATCTTTTATGTTGTATGTATATATATATATATATATATATATATATATATATATATATATATATATATATATATATATATACATATATATGTGTATGTATATATGTAGCAGGATGGTGACTCGGAGAGGCAAGGTAGTCCACACAGAAGGGATCTCACTCCCAGAGGGAACAATAGCAGACGTTGAGGACAGTTACAAGTATCTCGGTATACCACAGGCAAATGGCAACCTCGAACAGGTGACGAGGAAAGCGGCAACTGCCAAATACCTCCAGCGAGTAAGGCAGGTCCTAAGAAGCCGGCTCAATGGCAAGAACAAGGCCCGGGCAATTAACAGCTACGCCCTGCCAGTGATCAGATACCCTGCAGGAATAATCAGGTGGCCAAAGGAAGAGATTCAGACCACGAATGTTAAAACTCGAAAGCTCTTCACCATGCATGGCGGGTTCCATCCCAAATCCAGCACCCCGAGACTGTACGTAAGCCGTAAAGAAGGAGGCCGAGGACTAGTGAGTGTGAGAGCCACTGTCCAGGACGAAACATCCAAACTCCATAACTACATCATGGAGAAGGCCAAAACGGATGACGTACTCAGTGAATGTCTCAGGCAGTGGCGAGATGAGGAGGTGCTGGAGGAGAGCCCATCATGGGAGAACAAGCCCCTACACGGCATGTACCACCGGAGCATAACAGAAGTGGCTGATCTCAAGAAGTCCTACCAATGGCTAGAAAGGGCTGGCCTACAGGACAGCACAGAGGCACTCATCATGGCTGCACAGGAGCAGGCCCTGAGCACCAGAGTGATAGAGGCCCAGATATACCACACCAGACAAGACCCAAGGTGTCGGTTGTGCAAAGAGGCACCTGAGACGATCCAACACATAACTGCGGGGTACAAGATGCTGGCAGGGAAGGCCTACATGGAACGCCATGACCAAGTGGCTGGCATAGTGTACAGAAACATCAGTGCAGAGTATGGGCTGGAAACTCCAAGGTCTAAATGGGAAACTCCTCCAAAGGTGGTGGAGAATGAGCGTGCGAAGATCCTGTGGGACTTCCAGATACAGACCGACCGAATGGTAATGGCGAACCTACCTGACATTGTGGTGGTAGACAAAGGGCAGAGGACAGCCGTGGTGGTGGACGTGGCAATTCCAAGTGATAGTAACATCCGGAAAAAAGAACATGAAAAGTTTGAGAAATACCAAGGGCTCAGAGAGGAGCTGGAGAGGGCCTGGAGGGTAAAGGTGACAGTAGTGCCCGTGGTGATCGGTGCACTCGGGGCAGTGACCCCGAAGCTAGAGGAGTGGTTACAGCGGATCCCCGGAACAACCTCGGACATCTCGGTCCAGAAATGTGCAGTGATAGGAACAGCAAAGATACTGCGCAGAACCCTCAAGCTCCCAGACCTCTGGTAGAGGACCCAAGCTTAGAGAGGGATAACCGCCCGCGGAGGGCCAAAGGTGAGTGGACAATTTTTATATATTATATAAAACAGATAAAGCTTTCTATTAGAATAACAATTACTGACTGGTTTGTACACTGCAGTGATAAAATATGAGATAATAATTGCTGAAGAATTGAGAGGTTTTTGTCTTTAACTACATTCTCATTCTCTAAAAACAAGATTTGCCAATGGGACAATGGAACAAACAATTTAGTAATATTTCAAGAACTGTTGCTTTATTTTTCTCATTGCAAGGGAGGCGTTTTTTGTATTTTTTTAAAACAAGATAATTTAGCTTGTCCCATTGGCAAATCTTGTTTAAAGGCAGAACGTGCTCACATTATGATACATGTTGCCAGATTTGAGCAATTTTTGACTTTTTTTATTACGTTTTTTAGTGTATCCCCATGTTAAGCATTTAAAATGTTTTACCCAAAGACCATTTCTTCTAATTTTCTCACATACTCAAAAAGAACAACTGTGTACTGTACTGTGGATATGAGTGTGTACAGTTTCAATGCAAATGACAAAAAGGCAATCTCAGCTTGGTCTCTGGTTACGCAATGAACTAGAGTTGTTTTATTGTGGTGGAAAACCTGATCTATGATTCTCCACAGAACAAATGGACACCAAATGAATACATTTGCATGAGCATTATATAAACTCTACTTCATGAATAAATAAGTAGGATTGTGACACTTTGCACTCAAGGCCACTTAGATAGCATGTCACCAAAACTTGTACAGCCCACAACATGGACCAGCACCAAATAAGATTCAGGAAGACCATGAGAGTTACGATAAAGCGGATAGCGTGCGGCTAATGCATCACCACTACATTCATATGTAATCTCTGTCACTGAAATCTACTGTCAGACATGATATAAGGAAAATTCATTCATTCACTTAGACGTCACAATGGTGAGGAGGGTCACAGAGGAGGGCAGAGGGAGCTCATCCATCTCTGCTCGCCCCCAGGAGGAGGACAGTGAAACAATCTAAACATGCAACCAGCCGAGCACACATGCCGCCATAAATATTCATTTGCTTTCGGAATAACAATTTACATGTTAAACTCAGCTCATTCCCAGTAAATCAAAGCCTACAGCGCAAACACACTCAGAGACAATGCACAGTCCACAATGAGGAGATTATGAGCTGGAGCCATCGGATGTCCTGCCGTGAAATGACTCACAGAATCCGCTATGATACGGGTTTTGTAATGTCAACGCAGGGAAAGTGACAACTGTGGTGCGACATCACTCCTTCAGGACCTTACATGGCGTCATGGTTTCAACTCTTCAAACGTTAAAATAAAAGATATTGATAGAAATCAGTCAGATAAGGGGTGACTTTCCACATTTGTATCTTTCAGTGGTTGAATAGTTAACACACAAAAAACTACAGTTTTGGAGTCGATTGCAACAGATGAATGTAAACGAAAAGCTTCTTTACACTTTTGTCTTAAGGAAAGAAACTTCCAACCAACACTATTCTATTTTACAGTATTATTATTAAAAAAGACATCACAAAAAATGAAAATAAATAAACAAACCCACAGCAGACAGCAGACTACAGTTCAGACTGATAGCACATGGCACTGACACTATGTTGGTCAAATACATGGCCAGGGAACACTTCATTATTGTTAATAACCACGGTATGGTCCTCTCTTTAAGGTAAAGCAGGCCAAAATGTAGGGACTGCAGTGATCATAACCTGTCTAACATTGTTACAACCCTATAGTTGAGCTCATATGGGGAAGAGGAACGTACAAAAACAAGATGTAAATGGTTAATTAAACATCCTTTAATATAAAAGGCAAAATACTCAGAATTAAAACACAGGGAGTCTTACTTTGTACTAAATCCATGAACAAACACACTGATTAAAGCCGCCCCGCACAGGAGGAGCAGGTTGCTTTTCAGGGCTGGTGATGATTAGCTGCAGAGATAGATTGGCCGGACGTGGAGAGAGCGACCCGATCTTGGGGGCACAGCACGGCCCGGTGCCGGCGCCCGTAACATACATGTTTACATTTGTGTTGGGGAAAACCGATTCTGTTGTACTGTTGGGATATCTTGGGATATCTTGAGTAAAGTGGTACAATATTTATTATTAAATAATTATCCGTTTAACGTTCACCCTGTTAATTTACATTTGCATTTTACATCCACAAGGTGGCGCTTGTTGCAGTCCTTTGCTTTCATGCATTTATTCAACAGCAAGATCAAGGACACATTTGTTGCAATTTGGTTAATGTACAGACCATTATAAATCTTATATTGGAGTTGAGCAGTCTTAGGCTATATCCACACGAAGACAAAACGCTTATAATTTCAGAAACTTTTTCTGTAAACACGGAGTTAGCTCAGTAAATGTGTGCGTCCATATGAATGTAGTCAATACGCCTGAAAACGCTGTGAAACTATGCCAGACCTGTTGGTGGCGCTGTGACGCAATGACGGGATCAAACCCAAACTTCCGTGGGCATGCGCGGAATTTTGTAAACAGACAACATGGCGAGTGGGCGAGCTGGTACTACATTAGTATGGACGGACGATGAGGTTGAACTGTTGCTTTGGGTCACACTGGATTACAAAACCAACAAGCTACATTGTTGTTGTCATTATTTTCTGAGTGCGGCGCATGCGTGCTTTAACAAGAGGCGGGGCGATGACGCAAGCGTCTCAGATACATTGCGGAGAGGCAGTAACCACGGAGCGGCATATACGGAGTTTTGAAATCTTTCCACTCTGGGACCTAGTTTCAAAAATGTTCGTTTACACCCCCCCAAAACGCCGGCCTCGTATGGACGATACACTGGATTGATAAAGTATTTTTGCGTTTAGGCCTGAGCTTGACTTCGTGTGGACAGGGCCTTATTTTCATAAATGTTTGTAATACCTTTGAATATCATGAGTGGCAAGAATTGCAATACATCGTGGAATCGAATCATAATACTTGTTGTATTGCAATATGTTAAGAATTGCAAATATTGAATATTATACAATCGAATTGTCTGATTTTTTTCCAACTGCCACCCCTAGTTTACACACAGCATTAACAAGTGAATGTGTCCATTATCCGGTCAGAGAGTTCCTCCTGCGATAGAAGGACCCCCAACACTTCCACTGAAGGAACTGCTACCATTTTTACCAGTCACAAATGTACTAGATTTTTAGTATTTTTCCTATTTGAACGGGACACT